CCGGATTTAACGCAGAAGCAACCTAGCACCGCGAAGCTAAAGTCTATAGCAACGCCCTAGACGCACCTAGCAGCAATCAGATTAGTCTTCGAAATTGTCCGACCAGCTCCATCCACTCTGTGTAAAGCCTTGCGTGACTCAGCACAAGCTCCGCCGTTTTTTTTAATTATTATTCCTACCTTGCTCACATTATTCTTTCGCATTGTGTCACCGCATTGTTCTTTCTAAATGTGCCAACCCCTATTTTTCCTAATTGCTTTTTTTCGTCTTCCTTTTTGCAGTGTCTCCTATAAATGAAGACACATCCTATTCGCCAAATCGATCTTCAGCGAGTCGCCTTACGGCGCGGACCAAGAGCTCGCCACGATGCTCCATTTCGTGAAATGAACAGCGCCACAAAATAACCACAGCTCGAGTGGGCAGGATAAAATGAAAGACCCGAGTGGCGCGACCGCCGAGAAATAACAGCGGCATAGGCCAATATCGACCCGACGTCACGCATCGGAGCAATTTGAGAGGCGATATTGCTGGCTGTTTGGTCCATAACGATATACGTCAGACTCAGAACTTGGGCAGTTCTTTCTCCCTCCACTGCTCGGCCCAGGCATGTGTAGGAGAGAAACAAGAAAGAAGTATGAAGAAGAGGTGTATTTATTTCTGTTTTGGCGTGTTTCGAGGAGTGTACCACAACGAGCGAGGGGCAGATTCGCAGGAGCGGTGCATGCCTGATCCTCCTGATAGTATCGCTTACAAGCGATCACGAAATGTTTTAAGCATCGCGTTTATTGCTTACGTCTTTGAAATTCCATGCCATCGTTTATAAAACGGCGCCAAATTCCCGTCATGCTCACTTAGCTTTCAATCTTAGCGCCTCTTTTGCAATGTAAAGAAATGGAAGTTATTTTGATTATATATTAGAATGATTGATTGATCCAACAGCATCTCACCGTGACACCTCTCGTTCGCCCTCGTCGGCAATTTAACAAAGGAAATTATTGGTAATGCACATCATGTAACTCACTTTCGTTACTTCAAAAAATATCGTCAGCGCTTATATCGAACAATAAAGGACCGTATCTCATATATGTGTGCGCAGTATACATAAAGGCGCAAAGGAAAGCGGAGGAAGGAGCGCACGGTCACGAATACTCCACTTTAGGTGAAATATGTAGCTTGCTAGCGCGAGATTTCCCCATGGAAACGCGGCTATATATATATATATATATATATATATATATATATATATATATATATATATATATATATATATATATATATATATATATATATATATATATATATATAAATATATATATATATATATATAAATATATATATATATATATAAATATATATATATATATATATATAAATATAACTATATATATATATATATATATATATATATATATATATATATATATATATATATATATATATATATAATGACATCTAACAAGATATCATGCCACGGAAAATATAGGGGAAATTTTTTGACCGAATTGTAAAGTAAATGTGAAGAAAGAAAAGTGGGTGAAAAGAAGATAACTTGCCGTGAATAGAAACCGAACCTGCGACCTTCCAATAACGCGTTCGATGCTCTACCACCAAGCTACCACGGCGGCAATGCACCCAGCCACTTTATTGGGTATATATGTGAATTTAGACGAGGGAGTGTCAGTCAGCACCACGAGTAGCCATAGCGGCGAGTGTGGCACACTCCTTATGGGCCTGTTTGGCATCACGTAGCACGTGAACTTATTACGAGATGGCAGCTGACCTCGTATACAACCTAAAGAGATGGCCAGTCCCTCGTATACAACCTAAAGACACCAAGTCTGCCAATACGAGACCCTCGTTAATGAATAAAGGAAATAAGTCTGTACTTAAAGGCTCGTTTTTTTGTGTTTTCACACCATATTAATGACAGCTAACAAACAATCATGCTAAGGTAAGTATAGGGGAAATTATTTGACCGAAGTGTATAGTAAATGTGAAGAAAGAAAAGAGGATGAAAAGATAACTTGCCGTGAGCAGCAACCAAACCAAAGGTCGAAGGTTCGGTTTCTGCTTTTTCGAACTTTAATTTTTCGAAACGAAATAGTATATAACAACTGGAAAAACATCATATTGAAACAACCAGCAAGAGAAGAAATTGTAGAAAAAAAAGATCCCAGTGGATTATTAGAGAGGAACATTACGAAAACCATTATGACACTTCTGCCTTTGAGAAAGTTCGTCATCATCATCAGCCTGACTACGTCCACTCCAGGACAAAGGCCTCCCCCATGTTCCGCTAGTTAACTCGGTCTGTGCTTGTGCTGCCAATTTATACCCACAAACTTCTTAATCTCATCTGCCCACCTAACCTCCTGTCTCCCCCTAACCCTCTTGCCTTCTCTGGGAATCCAGTTAGTTACCCTTAATTACCAGCGGTTATCCTGCCTACGTGCCCGGCTCACGTCAATTTCTTCTCCTTGATTGCCACTTTGATATCCTGAACCCGGGTTTGTTCCCTGACCAACTCTGCTCTTTTCTTCTTTCTTAAGGTTACACCTATCATTTTCTTTTCATCGCTGGCTGCGTCGTCCTCGATTTAGGCTGAACCCTCTTTGTAAGCCTCCAGGTTTCTGCTCCGTAGGTAAGTACCAGAAAGATGCACCTGGTATATACCTCGAGACTACAACTATATCTATTTACCAGAGTTTCATTTACTACTCCAAAACTCTAACAAAATTGCATTCAGCCTCAACGGCGGCGCCACTCTATTCTTTAGCAGCTAGAAACTTTTCGCGTTTTATTCTGTTTTCAACTGACGCACTTGTCCCACTCATTTGGCATGTTAGCCGTAAGGGATCAACCGTATACAGTCGCCATTCCATTGAAAGGGCTCACACGAGCGCGTGGCAAATAGCCTCGAGCCGCGCATAAGCTTGTTCTATTTATACCGGAATGATATCTCCATGACGAATGTTTGTTCAGTCATCTTCATCTCGAAAGCTAACAGCGAATTCCTGTCCAGGTCAATAAGGCATGAAGAAAAGGGACCTCATGACGTTGGAGTAGCACGCTAACTGCCATTGGCTGGCGGGTAGTAGTCGTAGGCGTGCTGTAGAAAGTCATTTTTTTTAAAGACGATGGTCTTTCTTGGGATACTTCGAAGCAGAAGCTTTGGTCTATCTTCCTGTTTATCTGTCTGTCTGTCAAACGATTCGACCACCCAGCGATAGCTTACGCCATTTCTTAACGCCCAGCCATCTTTATCTGGTGGTTGCGTTCATACTTGCGAGCATTGCAGATCAGAAAGAAAATATTACGCCCGTATGAGGCGCAACACCAATACGCAAGTAATAGGTAGTGTGTTTTTTAATGAAAACACATTGATACGTAATTGGAAAGACCGCAGGGTTTCTTACAGTACGCTGACAATGCGACGCTATGAACGCAAAAGCGGGTCTTTCCTACGCTTCGCTAAGACCACACGGTGCTGCCACCTACCAGCGGCTCTCATTCTACACTACTTCTGTTTGCCGACAATACAGTCACGGATGGCGTCTATATATCACTCGGCACTTCCAGGCAGAAGACTATCGTCTTTTGATGACATTTGCAGCGAAACACGAGGATACAGAGCCACTTTTTAAAGAGCAGGCGACACACTGAGGCGTTTGTAGGGACGTCACAGTGCTCGGGCTGCGGCCACTTCCTTCCACCGATCTCTACAAGGGGGAGCTGGGTGGTGCTTCGAGCGCGCCTGGTTGAAGCCATAGGAAGACGCCGTCGGTGTCCCGGAAGCCACAACCATGAACAGTCGCCTGATCCCTGCGCTAAGACTTTTTTTTTTCTTTTTTTAATGAAACATGCCAGCCTGCAGCGCGGTAAACTGTACCAATCGAGCTGAAATGTCATTGCGCATACATTTCATACTTAAGTAACCCAAAAATTCTATTCCTTTTTACGCATTCTGCGAGGAAATTGTGGTATTTGACCACATATTTTTTTAACGAGGCGTATTGAAGGTGTTTAGCTTTTTGGCATGTATTTTCCCACGCTCGAGCCCTCAAATATACGAAATGTGGGTCATTAACTTAAAGAGGGAAAACTGGACGCCGTCTCCAGTAAGCAACTGCTGCGCTGACGATTTTTCAGTCATGTTTGGACTTGTCGGTTCCGAAAACTCGTCTTCGAAACGATGTCATCCCAACGTTGTTTTCTTTCCCGGATCACTCGCAAAAGACAAACATTCGCGCTCCTGGCTACTATTGCACTCATTTGTTTTTTTTGTTTTTTTTAAAACAATGCCGTGACAATTTTTTCTCTGTCACCTAACTAGTGAGTAATTGTAACGTTGTACGTAACAGCACTGCACTGTATTTGGGCGGCGTCGCTACGCCGTCTGTCAGTTTTCGTGTAGCGTTAGTCGATGTTCCAAGTGATGCCTAATTGTAGGGTTGGTTGCATGCACTAGTTGTATATTACAGCTATATTATATTACAGCTAATATATACTAGTTGTATATTACAGCAATTGGACGGCGTCGCTACGGCGTCTGTTATTCTCCGTGTAGCGCGGGATGACCGCGAGAATGTCATATTATATAAAAAAACAAAAAATTACGATCACAACAACATTACACCAGATAATATTTCAATTACACGCCTAAAACGCCCAGAAGAGGCGAGCTTCCGGGACAACGAAGGAACCTTGCGGTGGCATGACAAGCACCCGCGTGGGAGAGAGGAGATGCGTCGTCCAGCCCTTTTAATGGAGGTCGGCGATTCCCACCACCGATATCTACAATCACGTGATAACAGGCCCAAGAACTGCAAAGCTGCCTCCGAACACAGTGCGTCGGGAAGGAGCCAAAAGTGTCTCTGTATGTCGACGGCGCCAATAGCACCGCTTACAAACATGGAATAGGTCTATAAACTTTGTTCACGTGAAAGCCAAGAACGCCTCCGGATGCGGCCGACTTTATGCAAGCGAATGAAAGGCATCACCTGTCTCGGATGACGTTGTAGGAGCGGTTCGACTTGCAGTCGACGCTCCAGTCCAGCGTCCCATGCTCGTTGCAGATAGAGATGGAGAAGCGGCCGTAGTTTGCCCGTATCAGCGATATGAGCTGACCCTCGGGACAGGCAAAGCCCAGCTGGCTGCCCTCGCAAGCGTACGCCGTCTTGTAGAGAGAGCCGCCACCTGCACACACAGACAGGGCACTTGTACATCATACGCCTACACCACGGCACACGCGACATGGCTGACGTAATGCGGGCTCGTTGGTGTAGCACACCTTATTCTTAAACAGACACAAGAAGGCGGTCGGGACGCCTCTAGAGCTCACCTCTGGTCTATTCATTCCGGCATATAAGAGACAGCACGAAGAAACACGTGGTGCAATAGCCACAGTCACGTCATCACGTTGAACGTCTTGTTCATCATGAACACGTGTCTGTGACCTGTGAGTCGGCCAACATCTGCAGGGTGTCGAGAATTGCAAAAGCAATAATATTGGCAAGTATATTAAACGAGTACGTGTCATAATCCAACACGGGGATAAAGTGAACATTTTCGCTCCATTTGTAAGAAAGTGGCGCCATTTGTGAAGTTGAATGCTGCTTATTTATTTGTAGTTTTTTTTTTCCTTTTGACGCTCCAGCGTCTTCCTGCAGTTTCCCTTTGGCTACACCTATAACACATAAAACACAGAACTTCACCGCAAATCGTGCCCAGATGAAGGAAGCGCATGGAATCACGACACAAGACGGGCGTTCATATGCTAAAAAATCTCCCGAGCTCCCTGCTTACATTACACGACTTTGCTCTCAAGAAATGCGCGCATCGGTAAACAGGGAACGCGAGCTGCGTCCACTGAGCTTGTATTTTTATTTTTTATTTATTTTATTTTATTTCGGCATTCTTCACAAGAATGCCCACGAAGGGTGCAAAAGGAGAGATCGTCAGTTCACTAAGCCCATTCTTCGTGAGGCACCTCGGGAAAGAACAGCCAAACGGTACATAAAAGCAGTACAAAGAAACAGTGCAGTCTTAGACTTCACTAATCTATCGGAGCACTGCCACTTCGCAAACTCTACTAACAAAAGATTCGCGCAGTTGCGGAAGTGCTGAATGCAGTTCGAGACAGCAGCCATGACAGTTTTTAAAGTAATGTGCACCATGCAGAGATATTGTTCCTTAGGTGCATATAAGGAAGCTCGCTCTTTTGCGACTAATATAAAGAGGTGAACCAGTTCTGTACAGACTTCTGGCGTTTACGACGAAAGAGCTTCGGGCAACATGGTACACGGCCTGTTGCCCCGAGTGGCATGAAAACCGGAGAAATCAACTGAGCTGTTAGGGTGCGTAGTGTCTATATTATCTTGACCAATAACTCCGTCTACAGGCATCATGACGATGAACTTGGCATGTTTCGGTGTGCTATGGGAAACCAGACAGCTGCTCAATTCGCAACAGAGGAATTCTTAAATAACTCATATATTAAACTACTAGGAATGCGTCCAAACACAGTTAATAAATGCGAAGCATTTCTTAGCGAACTTCGGCGCCTTTGAGCGTATCTATCTATCTATCTATCTATCTATCTATCTATCTATCTATCTATCTATCTATCTATCTATCTATCTATCCGTCTGTCCGTCTGTCCGTCTGTCCGTCCGTCCGTCCGTCCGTCCGTCCGTCCGTCCGTCCGTCCATCCATCCATCCATCTATCTATCTATCTATCTATCTATCTATCTATCTATCTATCTATCTATCTATCTATCTATCTATCTATCTATCTATCTATCTATCTATCCATCCATCGATCCATCCATCCATCCATCCATCCATCCATCCATCCATCCATCCATCCATCCATCCATCCATCCATCCATCCATCTATCTATCTATCTATCTATCTATCTATCTATCTATCTATCTATCTATCTATCTATCTATCTATCTATCTATCTATCTATCTATCTATCTATCTATCTATCTATCTAGCCGCCTACGACGTTTAACTCTCCAGCCGTTTCGATAATGATATCAATACCAAACTTGATATGGCGTAACATGACTGTATGAAGAACATATTTGACTAGTCATAACATGAAAATCATGACATGTATGCCATGGATGTCATGATTTATATTTCATGGTCCTGCAGCTCTTGTGGCGGTTGCGTTCACATGGCATGTTGCAAAACTGGTATGGTATCACATGATTGCACGGCGAACACAAGCGACCAACCATAACATGAAAATCTTGGCATGCGTGTCATGCAACAACATGAATACATGCCACGCTCATGATGCGCTCGCCGCCGTTTCGCTAACGTCACATATATACAGCAAATTTGGTATTACGGTACGTGAATGGTTGACAAATGTATGTGACTGGTGCAAACATCATAATCATGAGATGCGTGTCAAGTAACAACATGACTACATGCCACGACCATCAAGCGCTCGTGGCCGTTTCGCTAGCTTCACATGTACAAAACTCGGTATCACGCTACGCGAATTGACGACATAGATAAATGCTATAATCAAACATGATAATCACGACATGCGTGACATGTAACAACATGACTACATGCCACACTAATGATGCGCTCATGGCCGTTTCGCTAACTTCGCATATACGAAATATGGTATTACGTGATGTCAGTGGATGACGAAGGTATGTAACTGGTGCAAACATGACAATCATGAGATGCGTGTCTTGTGAGAACATGACTACTTGCCACAGTCAAGGCGCCAATACATTTCGACGTGACGCGGTGCACGTGTTCGCCGGCGCTGCCACGCCAGTCACCGGTCCTGCTATATACTCGCAGGTGGGCGCCGCACTGCGTTGCTTTGACGCATGGGCATTTCAGCGCGTCCACCGTCCCTCCGTGACGGAACGAGGGAGACGCTGTGTTATGTGGGGAATGCATCGGTGCGAAATGCCGCATGTCGGAATTTGCGGCGGTGGCAATAGGGCCGCGCCGACGGAGGCTGGTCGCACCGGTCGCGCCTGGCGTCAGACAATAGAGGGCTCGCGTTTTCCTAACGTAGCGTCGCTGTACTTAGCGGGCGCACGCATCAACGCTACATTAGAGTATATTGGGCCCTTCATGATGTGCTCGCGGCCGTTTTGCTAGCTCCACGTACACCAAAATTGGTGTTAAGTGACGTCAATGGATGATGAAATATATGACTGCATGGTGCAAAAATGATAATCCTGACACGCGTGTCATATAAGAACATGACAACATACCACGCTCATAGCACGCTGGCGGCCGTTTCTCTAGCTCCGCATATACTAATTTTGGTATCACGAGACGTGAATGAATGACGAAGGTAAACGACAAATTCAAGCATGGTAATCATTATGTAATTCGTAATTTACTTCCACTTCGTAATGTTGTGCTGAATTAAAGTGACATACCAACCTTTCTCATACGTGCTTGCATATCAGTGATTCCCACTGTGCGTGGGATCTGCCAATTTTTCGCGCTATTGATATCACCCCCGATATGCGCTGCCATATTAGGCACGACATTTCCACAACGTAAGTGAATTGGTGACTGCATTAGCTGCAACTCGCCAGGGGGTGGGCCCAGAAAGGGACGCCAGGTGTCCGGGGGAGATAACAAAAAGCGCCCGGCGACCATCCTGAAAGCGACGCCGAAATCCCCTGGCGCGGCCGTGATGCATGCAGCGCTCGATTACCGCGCATCTTACTCCCCGGCGCGGAACCAATCATTGAGGGAGCCCCAAATCGGCTGCGCCACAATCGGCTCCGGTCAACAACAATGACCAGCCTGACTTGGCTGCCTACGCAAGCGTTTCATTCGCCGACTTCATTTTTCATACGCCACCTTGGTCTGTTCTCTCTCGTCAGGCGCCGGCTAATAACGCAACTCAACTCGTGCGAGGGAAAGAATTGATGCGTGTATGCATCCATGCTATCATTTAGAAGATATTAAGCATGCATGTATATCAAGAGGGAATGTATGTGTCTCAAGATAGAATGCACATTTTATTGGACCAGCCTAATTAGGCTATCGATCGGTCCAAATAAGCGTTGCGTGTTCAATTTTTCTGCTAGAAAAAATAAAGTAGTTCCATTGACTGAGTGATTCACTGATTGATTTCAGTTTGAATGTGAAGAACATGGACACAAGCTCAATTCGCCCAGTCTCGCGGATCACTCGCTCATTACGTGCGTCTCCGAAGGCTCGGCGAATGCGAGGCAAAACTGATGCTGCGACGACCATATACGAGCTGCACCAAAGTCATTAGAAGATCCGTTTGGCGGAAGGCTTAGCGCCACCTGGAGCCTATAAGCGAGTACATGTTTTGGGTGGATATAAACTGTCACAGAAGAAAGTAAAACAAAAAATGGCAGATCCCACGTACAGTGGAAATGAGTGATATGCGAAGCACGAATGAGAAATGTTGATATGTCACTTTAAAATGAGCACAATATTACGAGGTGGAGGTAAAAAATGCCGTGCATGACTTCCCTGTCCCGATTATCATGTTTGAATGTGTCGTTTACCTTCGTCGTATATTCACATCACGTGATAATAAATTTAGTATAAGCAGAGCAATCGAAAGGGCTGCGAGTACCCTTGAGCGTGGTATGTTTTAATGTTACTACATAACACGGGTGTTAGGATTATCATGTTTGCACCAGTCATATATTTCGTCATACATTGACGTCACGTAACACCAAAACTTGGTAGCACAACTTCCGAGAGCGCATCATGAAGGGCCCAATATACTCCAATGTAGCGTCGACGCGCGCGCACGCTGGTCACAGTGACGCTACGTTAGCAAAACGCGAGCACGCTATAGTCTGACGCCAAGCGCGACCAGCGTACGTCGGCGTGACCTGACGGCAACCGTTGCGAAATGCGACATACTGCGTTTCACACCGATGCGTTACCAAGACAACACTGCGTCTCCCTCTTTTGGTGACGGAGGGATGCCGGACGCTCTGAAACGCACATGCGTCAAAGCAACGCAGCGCAGCACGCACCTGCGAGTATATGGCGTGATGCGACTAAATAAACGCCGGCGAGCACGCGTACCGCATCACGTCGAAATGTATTGGCACTTTGACTGTGGCACGTAGTCATGTTCTCACATGACACGCATCTCATGATTATTATGTTTGCACTAGTCACATACCTTCGTGATCT